GAACAAAGAAAAGAAGGAGACAACGGAGACCAGGAAGACCTCCGTCACAAACTACCTGAAAGCGAAAGAGGCCACGAACGTTGCCGACGAAAAACGTTCTCGTGGATCGAAATCGCCTGTGTCAGTCTACTCGAGCACGAAAGCGACAGACGAACAGCTGGACGATAACAAACAAGCCTACGAGGACTACAAGAGAAGGGTTAGTAGGTCGGAGAAAGATGCCAAGAAGACCGAAGACGCAGGGAAAGCGAAGCCGAGAGAGCCTCTCAGACGGCCGGAAATCATCGCACTTCAGAATGAGGAGCTGGGAGGAAGCACGGCCAGACAGAGGAAGAAGTCCCTCTCCCGTCTGGACACTGGGGACTCCCTGTCGGATCGAAGTTCTCGTGGATCGACGCCCAAGTCACCGGGACTGGACGGCGCTACGTCCCCCAAATATGACTTCGATCTGGAAGCTGGTCAGTCCAGGAGCTCAACGCCCACAAAACTCAAGAAGCAGCCTTCGAGGGACGTCCCCCTCCAGGCAAAGAATACCGATCAGGAGGAGCGTCCGGGAACACCTGTGAGGCAGAAACCGTCACGCGATGTGCCGATGCCATACATCACAGTGGAAGGAGAGGACAGATACTCCAGACCGAGAAGGGGATCCCGGGACTTGACGCCAGACAGTCCTCTTCCACATCGCAAAATTTCCACAGAAGAACGACCGCCTTCCAGGGAGTCGCGTCCCGGAACACCACTATCACACCGAAGACCTTCTCGGGATGTCAACATCAGCAGTGGTCAGCTGGATCGCCTTGTTCAAGCAAGTGGGTTGGACAGTCCGGAGTTAACACCAGACCAACCACAAATGTGGCCTGACCTGATTGTCTGTCCACAAGGTCAAGATGATGAAGAGTGTCAGGACTACAAGGATTCTTTGGATGTCCCCATCGCAACCTTGATGAAAAGTCCAAGTGGGACTCTACGTCAGGTTCCAGAAGTAACCATCCTCCAGACAGACAAAAGCAACGCCTCAGAAAGTAAGACTCTCGACTCAGAGGGGAATTCTAACGACCCAACGTACGTTCCAAGCAACAAGCTTGTGGCCTGGATCCTTGATATTGGCAATGTTCAGAATCAGCGCCAGGCTCCCTTCTCCACCTCTGACCGCGTGTCTCAGTGGGAGGGAAAAGAACCCTCGCCCAAACCAGGGGAGAGATCCCCAAGAGAGAAGTCGCCAAGACTCTCAACCAGATCGCCTGTTCCAAGTGATAAACACAGAGACAAATCTCCTGCACAGCCTAGAACACCCTTCTTGTGCCCGCTGTCACGAGAGCCTTCTTCCGTAAGTCTAAAGAGCTCAGGGTCTTTAGAGAATGCTTGCATCCAGACGCCCTGGGGAGAGCTCAAGCGGTCGCCCTCGCGAAGCACACTCTCAAAATCACCGTCCTTTGAGGTTCCTTCCAGCAAGGCAAAGGATAGCACTGATCCTGGAAATGGAGGCTCTGATGACCACATGTCTGTAGGAAGTTCAACGAGATCCCCATCACCACGTTCATATTCGAAGTTCCATAAACAAGACTCAATGGAAATTCAAGAGAGGAAAGACTCCCTTACTTCCCCAAGGTTAACGGGTGAACTACCTCCAAAACCTCCAGAAAAGATGCAGAGGAGCTCAAAAGAGGAAAACCTGAACATCAGAAGCCAAGCCAAGAAGGACGACTGGAAGAGCGCCACTCTGCCAAGACAGGCAAAGCTCGCCAAGCAGGGATCCACAGACAACCTGAAGAATTATACAACGGAAAAGAGGTCATCTCTCTTGTCTGTAGAGGAAGGGAACACGGACAGCCTGAAAAGAAAGAGCAAGTTTCCTCCTTCTCCCAACCAGAAGCGGAAGTTGGGCAGCTGCCTCCTTTTCTCGGCCCAGGATCGAATATCACAGTTCGAAAAGAAACAGCCATCAACCAGGCCTCCCCAGCGGCCAATCACTCGCACGCGCAGTAGCATGGTATTCACCACAACCGCTCAGGAGAATGGGTTGGAAAACCGATTGTCCTGTGATGTGAACAAGAATGCCCTCACCTCATCCCTAAACTCGTCTTACACCCCCAGTAAGTCAAGTAATAACACTCACGTAGAGTTTCTCAGGGGTAGACTTTTAGGTAAGACTACCAAGACTACAGGACTACCGCCGGGGTTAATTCAAAATGTAGATTCGGTTAATAACAACAACAAGCGTTTTAGCATGGGCTATGCCAGACGTGACAGTATAGGGTATGGCAATTATTAGACAGGCCAGACGAGAATGGAAAAGAATGTCACTCGAAACAAGCAGCATAATGAATGCATTATGTGACGTCAGTTCTATGACGCGCTAGTGTAAGATGAAGTCCGCACATGAGGTGACGTTAAAGGGCTCTGCAATCACCCTGTGGGTGAGCAGAATGCGTATATCCCAAGTGTTTTCATGTTAACTTTAAGCAAATTAATTTTGTGATATGATTCGAAAATTCAGCAGTAAAGACACCGGTGAATCCAATCAGTAAGAATGAAAAAAGTACTCGAAGTACAGATGCTCAGGTTGAAACAAAGGAGAATTCGGTATTCCTCTCACTCCTGCTATTTCGCGAGACTGCCTCCTGTAGCTCTTCTCATTTATCGACTATTCGTTAGTTATCTTGCTTGTTCAAGTAGTTATGGATAGCCTAGGAGCTTGTGTAGTTCATTTGCTATTTCTCCTGCCAACTTCTTAATTCTCGAGGCTACCATCTGTAGTGAACGGCTTTTATAAGTACCGGGTAAAGTCTTATAGAAAATTGAGTCTAGTAGCTTATAAACTAGTAACAGTAGACTTTGTTGTGCAATGCAGTATTCTGTAGGCAGTAACTGTAAGTGGTTGTAATTTGTAAGGTAAAAGAATTATAAATATTTTTCTCCCTCGGCATGGTCCGGTTAAACTTAACTGTTGCGGTGTAATGTTCTAGCATTTGTACTGCCGCTTGGTAGTCTAAATGTACCGTGTTAGATGCTTTTATTTATATATAACTTGGTTTTGATAGAGCTGGACTCTTATAGATATTAGTTTCTCATTTTTTATCTTCATTTTTTCTGCGGTATCGCTCCAAGCTAGGAACGTTTTTTCTAGATGTTTTCAGGTATATTCAATGAAATATACTTGTAGGTAAAGGTATTTTTTTCACATAGTAAGTCTCAGTAAGTTGTTACATAAGTATATAACGTTGCCCTGAAGAACTTCTATACTAAAGTTCCCTCAACTTTGTCTCTTATTTTTCTCCACTTTATATTTTTCCTCTTCTGTAAGGTAGATGCTTTTGTTGATGCCTCTTCCCTCATGTATTTTTCTCTCTATTGGTTAGTTCTTGCACATGCCACTTTCGCCACTTGGAGGTACTTCCCTCTTTACTATGCTGTCGAAGTCTTTGGTATGCATATGGGTTAAAGAATGCTGATATTTTCTTGTTTTAAAGTGTACCTTTAAAAATCCTATGTATGTCCATAGCATATCCAGATTTCTTCATCATGCATCCACAAGCATGTATTCATGCATGACCTTATTTCTGTCTCCCTTTCCCCCCTTTCTCCCTGATCACAGCTCGTCGCCCTCCTCCTGTTGGTCCACAGCGTTCCCCGACCTTCACCTACTAGTTCTCCAACCCTGCTGCTGCCCGTTTTAAGGTTGCTGCTCCTGGCGGTCACCATGGCACCCTCACCAGTGCCTCATAAACCTCGCTAAAGACGGACGTTGTGTCTCGAGAGGTTGTACGGCTTGTGATATGAGAGGAAATATTCATAGTGTGGAAGCTTCGTCATTTGCGCCACCTACGGCCACTGGTCGCCGTGGGACACTGACTTGTCAAGCGGTAAAGTTGAGCGTCACAATTACATGAACACTAGTTACATCACCACTACCACCACCACAGTAAACAGCCACACTAGTCACGTAGTGGTTAGTCAGCACACAGCCAAAGTAAAGCTAACCTCTCTACTCCCCTGATTTCACACCAGCTGTCGCATGACACCCGAGCAGTGCCGCAAACATAGCTGGATCTGCAACCTCGGGGGACAGCCGAAGGCCAAGCTCAACAAGAGGAACCTGCAGCAGTATGTGAGTCGAAGACGGTGGCACACAGCTGTCCATACGGTCACCGCTCTCCGACGCATGGGGGCAAACCTATCTGAGAGGCGGGAATCCACCAGCCAAGAGTTTGCCAAGACGAAAAGCAGCATAGAGCTGTATGGCCTGGAGAAGGAGTTCCTTTCGTCCTCGGGCTTTAGCCATTCCAGGAGTTCCAACGAATTTCAGAGTCTGGAATCGCCGACGGTAGAAGCTCCGTCACGCCTTGCCCCAGTGGCTGAGAAGGAGACCGAGAGCTCACCTCCCAGTTTAAGAAAGTCAGAAAGGCGGCGGACGACTCAACCGAGATCAAGTTGTAAAAAATCTAAAACTGTTAATAACAAAGATGCACCAACTGTACAACCAAGTCAAGAGCAAAAGAAAAGAGAAGTGCTTTACATAGAAGCAGAGGAGGCATTGCGGCGGATGGTAGGTCAGGTTCCATCATCACGAACGGCTAACTCGGTCTGTTCGGATGACCAGAGGCAGACGAAGCAGAGTAGAGACGAGTGTCCCCAGCCCAAAGACTCTCCCATTTCCATCAAACAGCGTCGTGAGAAACCGCCCTCACAACCCGTCCCGCGGAGGCCCACGACAGTCACCTCCTCGACTCGCGTCCCACCGGTGCTGGAGCTGGCCCGAAGGAGGTCCTCCGGCATGGCCATCCAGTATCCTTCGACCATCGGCAAACCACTCCTGGAAGCGGTCGAACAAGCGAAAGTCGGACCGCGCTCGCTCGTCGACCAGTTGCTGGGACAGTTCAAGGGGATGCAGTCGTTCTCCTTCGCTGAGCTGAGGACGACCAAGGGCAAGGCCACCTTAGCGAGCACCGTGGTCAGCAAGCCCGTCTTCCAGTTCCGCAAGGGCCGACCCATCAACAGCGGCGCTGTGCTGGAGATCGCCAAGAAGTTCATGGGCTTCGAGTAAGGAAACGGCGCGCGGGGAAGGCTTATCCTTCCAGTGAAAAAGGAAAACTGAATGTCGCCCGAAAGGCTTCGATTGAGCTTGAATGGTCTGTGACGAACGAAGAAAAAAGACAATGTGATGGAAACGTACGAAACAAAAGCGATAGATACGGCAGAATAGCATAAGATAATATTTATTATGATGAATAATAAAGAATATATATATAGTGCATATGGACACTAGGATGACAAATACCCTTTATTGCAGCAGGATGGTACTTATACTTAAAAATGAATTTAATCGTAGAAAAGTACTCTAGAAAACATTGAAACTAACATCTAGGCTAGAAAAAAATATCGGTGATTCTGGATATTCCTTAATTTTCGCTTTTTTCTTTTATTTTTTCACTATTATCATAAAATTGATCATGATGAATGCCACCAGTTACCAGTTATTTCTTATCCACGTACAGAAAAAAATTACAAATTATTTATTTTTTTCCCATTTTCCCCGCTCTACGATAATTATTTTAGCTAATATTTATTCTTATTTTCGCTAATATTTATTTTTCAGTTTCCCATCTACTGATGCTAGACTTTTCATATATGAAATGATTTTGTGTTCGCTCTCTCTCTCCCTAAAAACAGCTATCTTATATTTATTTATTTATTTATTTATTTTTTTTTTTTTTTTTTTTTTACGTTTAATAATCTATTGAACATCCTGCACACAATCTATTGACAATTATTTCTTCATCCGCTATGATTTCCATCTTTAGTTCTATGAAATAAAAAAATCCAGATGCAGTGGATAAATCGTCTTTGAATGTGTATATAAAGGATCTGTATTGACATAGCGCATTTTATGAATGGTATTGCCTCCTACTATATGAATGACTAGTAATTATGTTGTTGATATCTTTTCTTATCATTTATTATATGTTGCTTTAGGGTCACTGGAGCTTTTCTTTTAAGTTTTTTGAAACAATTGAAAACCAAAATGAAACTATATATAACACGTGTTCTTTTTTATGTTGAGTTCGTTGTTCGCCAATCCTTATATAAATTATGATGTTTCTTTCGTAAATTGGTTCGCGCCAATAAATTATTGTACATGAATTTTTCATGAATAAAGCATTATTCTTATCTCTGGTTTCTTTAATTCTCCTGACCGGTTTCTAAATTGAGAAATTTTCCTTATCGCTGCTATCTATGAGACGCCATTATTCTTACCTCTGTTTTTTTTTTTTTTTTTTTCCTTCTCACTGGTTCCTAAATCTAGACACTTTGTCACGCTTTTATTATTATCTCCGGTTTCTTTAATTCTTATCACTGGTTTCTAAATCGAGAAATTTGTATGCATTCTTATCGCTGTCTTCAATGAGACGCCATTATTCTCATCACTGGTTTCTTTTTTATCACTGGTTTCTAAGTCGAGACACTTTGTTTTCATTATCATCTCTGGTTTCTTTATCCAGATACTTTGATTCCATTCTTATCTCTGGTTTCTTTATCGAAACACTGTTTTCTTTATCCAGACACTTTGATTACATTCTTATCTCTGTTTTCTTTATCGAGACACTTTTTGTTTTCATTCTTATCTTTGGTTTCTTTATCGAGATAATTAGTAAATATTATTTGCGATCGATGACTGTACTGCTAACACCATTATAATTGTCGCTGATAATATTGAATGCCACTGATATCATTATCATTCGCAATAGAACTAGGATAATTAGGATGATATGATGTTGTTTTGTGGTTCTTAGTATTTTCACTTTGACGGTAATGATATTTATTATAATAAGTATAGTGATTATCACAGACATTACCGTTTTCAAATTATACTGTTGTAGCTTTTGTTGTTTTTATATTCACGGGAATAATCATATTTTTTTCAATCTTTGCGTTAACTGTTACTTCTATTCCTATCAGCATTATAATTATTTTCGGTATCATCAACATTGTATTTATTTTTGTTGGTATGATTATTATTATTGGTCTTATTATTCATAATCATTCTTGCCATTAGCATTGTCGTTCTTTTTAATTATTGTTTTTGATATCATTATTGTTGCAGCTATTACAACTGTTAACATTATTAGCACTGCCATAATTATTATGAATACAATCATTATGAACATGATTATTTTTGTTGTTGTTCTCGTTATCATAATCATCGTGTTCATCTTTACTATCATTACTTTGACACGGTTCATTGTTATCTTTGTAAGGATTAATAGCATCAATATTTTATTAGTAGTATTAATATTAGTACTATCTATCATTATTATTATTATCATGTTATCATTATCATAGATATTATCAGCATCATCATTACCATCATTATTATTATCATAAGCATTATTACCATAATCAATATTATTATAGTGTTTACGTTCGTGTTCACTATAATTATCATTATCACTATCACCATTTTCATCAACACATTACCATCATTATCTTCATCATCGTCCC